CAATTTTACAGCCACATCACAGTCAGCCCTCATTTATAGAATGTTCACTTTGTCTGGTTTTGTTGCAGCATGCCCCACTTTACGTAGACTGAAATAATAAAATTTTAATTAATTGTGCCATCTACTTGTTTATGTGGTACGTGAACATTTGTGCTTAATTATAGTTGTAACGAGCAGTCGCCCCAATGCTACAATAATAAACTTTACTTATTGTTATAAATGTTTATCTACCAATTTTTTCCTAATTTAGCCGTCAACAACTATGTTCTTTGTATTTCTTCAATAAGTTTTTGCTCTTCGTCCTTACGAAAATTATCACATAAATCTGTTCTTGGTTCTTGATCTGAATATGAAGCGTTAGTTGGCGCCATAAGTTACGGAATGCGTCACGTCATATTTGAACAATTTTAGCGCGCTATTACTATTGTTTTCTAGACTTGCAATAAAATCACGATAGATTGATTGAAATAGCAAGAGTGTAATATAGCTCTAAGATTGTGCATCAATAGTTATTTTGGTTTTTCATCGTGGCATTCGTTAAGTTATTATATTCGAAACAACCGAACGAAATATACCCAGACTTTGTCAATGATTTCATAATTCGAGCAACGTTGACTCCCGAAATGTATGCTAAATATTGACCAATGGCATTGGAGAAATTTAGGGTCGGAACTTGCAGAGTTGCAACTAGTTAATCTTTAGATCGGTTAAAGTGTTTCGAAGCTATCTTTACATAGTTAAGTAATAATTATTATGGTAAAGAACAAAGGGAAGGATTCGGGAAGTAAGGATAAAGGCAGTCGGGATAAGGACAAGGATAAGGGAGGTAATAAGAAAAAAGGAGGAAAGTCACAAGAGGGTGGAAAAGGTAAGTCGAACGTGTCAAGGAATGTGAAAGTTAAAGATAACGAATGGTTTTTGGTATTAATACATTCGATTGGTATTGCATATCCGTATTAATACCAATATTAGATGATGGTAAATTGAAGGGTAACACTATCAAGGTGAGTATGTTTCTTCCGAAAACATTAGAACTAGGATTGTAAAACATAAATCTGCTCAGAACGTTTGGTGTTAATTCTGTTATGATTATCCATTGCTAGGTTCGGCATATTCTCTGTGAGAAACGCTCGAAGGTAAAGGTTGTTTGTTGATAAATAAACAAACGAAACCAGTCAGCGATTCGTTTTAGCTCATTAATCACAACATCAATATCATATGAAAAAGGCTCTGGAAGCATTACAAAAATTAAGAGAGAACGAACGCTTTGACAAAGTAGCTGCAGAATACAGCGAAGACAAAGCAAGACAAGGAGGCATGTGATAGATCGGTTATCGTCGGCTTATACAATTTTCTTTGTGTAGCTAATCATCAGAGGGAAAATAACTTCGTTGTCATAGGCGATCTTGGTTGGCGTATGCGTGGAACATTGTTACAAGAATTCGAGAAAGCTGCGTTTAACTTACCAACGAGTACAGTCGGTAGGTTGCAAATTGTTATTTAGATGATTTTATTGTTAAAAAAAAGGTGATTATTCATCCACTTATTCGATAGATTCACCGATATATACTCCTGAACCTGTGCGAACGTCAGAAGGATACCATATAATAATGGTTGTAAGTATAATGATTATGTTAACGTTTTTGTTGTAAGTGTGTTCTCATTAGGCATTGACTGTTTGTCTATGTGTAATATAGGAAGGAAGAAAATGATAGCTCTGATAGAATAAAGACTATTTAATATTTTGGATGATGTATTACTCGTTATCTAAACACAATGCCAAGTTATAACTAGCCCTGGATGGCACTACCTTTGTATACATGATAATATCAGGAAAAACGGGAACGACGAATTTCCTGTACTGGATATACCCTATGGAACAAATTCGAATAAGCAATCGTAGGTGGATGATAAATTTCAGTTTCATATGTCATAATAGCAGGCAAAATAAGAGAAATATTTGTCAAGGCAAAAATTTGAAGGTTTATTTTTAATTTAGCTTCAAGTGCTATCGTATTGCTCGCACTCTTTCTAATCAGTTGTTCCAGTACTTCAAATTCGCTACAAAGACCGTTGGAGCGTAATCGTGACATTCTCGTCAGTCGCGATGAATCCGCGGAATTTAAATCGCGATGATAAGTAGCAAGGAACGGACTTCGGTTTAGAATTTTGTCCATAAAATTTACCCTCTGAATTATGATTTGAATAATGCCACTATTAAAATATAAAAGCATTTTATGAGCGTTGTTTTAAATCCTAGATGTAACGAAGAAGGTTGTTGAATCTTAACAATAATTGTATTAAATGTAGTTGAACAAATTATGTTTGCCAAATCTGCATATTAATATACTGCCTTTGATTATATAAATCAGCAAAGACCTACTTTTACATTGGATTCTTTGTGAATATCCTTTTGTTATGCTTTCTAAATACTATTTATTCAAATAAATTCCTTAGTTAATTCTTTCTCCTTTACCATCTACTGCTCGATCTGTTCATACTAGTTTTTTTTGAGAGCTCTACAATACAAGCGCGACTAAATACACGTAATTCCATCTCGTGACCTCGACTTATTTCGATCGCCGGAACGGTCAACACATCGTATTAGAGCGAATTTAACTAGGCTACATGCATGCCAAAAGAATGTGCGTCGAAAGCTGGCAGTTATACGTAAATAGGAAAAAGATAAATATTTGGTGCTCAGTTCGTATGATTTATAAATAAAGAATCATTGAAGTATAGTTATATACATGGAACAAAGTCAGAACTAACATAAAGCCAAATTTGCTGTTACTATTACAAAAACGATAATTCAGGTTTGTAATAGAAATATGGTAATGATGATCGTCTCTTAATATTAATGTGAAAACAACCCCCAAGACTACGTTAAACGTATCGTCTACCACTGTACAAATTTTTCCCTGATACCGGTTTTCGTTTGTTGCTTTCAAACCGCTTGAGCCGATCGCGTACTGACCCAATGTCTCTTCTGAACAAAACATATATACTTTACAAAAATTATTGAATCATTGACAACGATGTAATAATG